GAGGTTGGAAGCAGTGGGCATCACGTAGCCAAGCCTTGTGGTCAAAGCATAGGGCTTTCCTAAGGAAACCCAAGCAGGATGTATGGGTGTGCATAGCCTTGCAGAAGGGTAAGAAGGGATGCAGTTAGTTTTCCAAAGCTGTAAGGAAGACTGAAAATAGCTGCTAAAGTCTAAGGCAGTGCTGGCAGGGTGGTAACGTGCTCATGCATGAAGCACAATTGGAAATGAGAGAATTACACAGGAGCTGAGGCTGGAGCTGCAGAACTGAGCTGGCTCATGTGCCATTGCTGGCTGCTGCAGCAAGGGTTGAATATGTTCAAGAAGGAGAATATAAAGCCAAAGTGGCTGTTAATGCTGGTTTTAATCCAAATGCAGTCAGTGGCAGAGTGGTCACAGGAATCACATTTTCTGATTCATTCAGTTTTTTGTTTGTTCTCTGGACTCGCTGTTTAATTCCAAGTGAAGTGCTAATATCTGAAGTCGAGGAGCTATATTTCTCTGAATGGCAGCAGGAGCTTCTGGGACAAATCAGAACGCAGGCACTTGGGCAGTCTATCTAATTACAAACCATTGCTAGTACTTAAAAAAAATCCGTTGCAGCGATTGAATGCTGTCTTTCATTTCAAGATAAAGCCACCAACTGCACGACATCCCAACAGCTTCGCTGACAGCCAGCTTTCCCTTGGCCTGTTCTCCCAGCAGTCATTTCCTGAAGCTGCAGATCAGCACATCCTAGGATTGGCACAAGGTAGCTGCAGGACGTGGTGCAGGCAGGAGCAGCCAGCAGCACGCCTGCTAACAGCAGCTCCTGGCTGGCACTGTGAGTAACCGCAGGGCCTGAAGGGCGGATGCGTTGGAGGGGAGGTGTTAGGCTGCAGCCATGAGTCAGGGCCTTTCAGCTTGTCCTGTGGGAGCCCTTTTCAAGGAGATGGATGATGAGAAGCCTGCAGCCCTGTGGCAGCCGCTCGTCTGCTGCGTTACCCAGAGCTGTTCTTATCGTAGGTGATGAGGCTCCGATGCAGACAAAAGGCTTCTACTGAAAACCACTGCTGATCTTCTGTGAATCATAGAATCATAGAATGGCCTGGCTTGAAAAGGAGCACAATGCTCATCCAGTTCCAACCCCTGCTATGTGCAGGGTCACCAACCAGCAGCCCAGGCTGCCCAGAGCCACATCCAGCCTGGCCTTGAATGCCTGCAGGGATGGGGCATCCACAGCCTCCTATGGACTGAATAATTTCAGCATGGCAGAGAAACTCAAGTGAAGTCTTCCTAAAATATAATGCTTTGTATTTCAGAGGTACTGTAGAGGCAGTTTTTTCATAAGGATGGGTTTCTCAGGCACACAGGTTGAATTCTTGGGGGGAAAAAAAAAAAGTGTTTTGGATGCATTTGGCATAGTGAGACAGATGTGCATTGCTGGAGCCAACACCTGGCATCTCTGGGAACGTTTTCTCCTGAATGGCCTCCAGACTATTGAGGTGGTAATCTGAACGCTTTTATTGCATTGCTTTATTTGTTATTAGCTTGGGTCAGGTTGGCCCAAGTTGCACAGACTGAACACGCTGCTTTAGTTTCCACTCTGGGCATACAGCAACTCGGTAGTTATTAAGTAATTCTGGAGAATATTTGCTAATGTTTTCTCATAATTGTTCTAACAAATATTTTACTATGATCCAATGGGCGAAGTTAATGGATGGATCTTTTGTGCCCCTGCAGTAAGCAGGGAAGTGCAACTGAGAGCAAGAAACAAAAGGCATCAGTGTTCTTGTGTGACAGCTCTCAGCCGTTCTGCCATGCAGGACCTGAATGTTGGTATTTATTCTGCTCAGAACAGCGTTGCCATGTGGCTTCTGCCATTTGGAGCCAGAACAGCTTCCTTTAGTTTCTTTCGGATGTCTCCAGAGCCTGCTGTGACTGTTTCACACAGACCTGACCTGTTCTGAAGCTGCTGAAGGATGGATGGGTTGTCTTCTTCACCAGCTCTTACATCAGGGCTACTTCAGGTTGGCCGTTCACAATTGCTTGGAGTCGCTCGGTTCTTCAGCTTGTGCTGCCCCATAGCCAGGGAGGTTGCATGGATCCTGATTTGCTTGTGGAGTAAAACAGGCAAGATTCTAATGAACTGAAAAAATAATTTGATTTTACAGAGAGAGAAATGCAGCTGCATTTTGCTGGGAAATGAGCAGCACGTGTATAATATTCTGAATTTCAAAGCAGTGACAGTGATGGAAATGGTAATGAAAGTGAGACTGTCGGATCAGATTCCCTTTGGTCTTTCCCTGCTTCCTCTGCTCTCAACAAAAGGATGAGTTAATTTGAATTTCATTGCTTTTCATCCTTAGGGAAATATCAAATGATCGGCCTTATTGTGGAACCGTGCCCCAAAGGAGGGGGACAGGTGTTGGGTTTGTGCTTTCACTCCACATGTGCAGCAAGCTCATTAATTTGTGATTTCATACGTTGCAGCAGGAAGAGGCCACTGGTCTCTGTCACTAAAAAGCAACCGTGATTGATCGTTCAGGGGCAGAAGGGGAAAATATTCAGAAATTAGTTATATAAGCATCTTAAATTAACAATGTGCCTACAAAGAGGCATTGTTTTTCCCCAGAGGAATGCTGAAATGGATGTTTTTAACCTCCTTGCTGAACACCTGCTACTGTGGGTTCGGCAGGGAAGCGGTGCGTTCGCACCGATGTCTTTCTGTGCTCAGCAAGGGAAGAGATTCACACCCTGCACCAGCCCAGCTGCAGCACCAGCCCGGCAGATGGGAGCAGGGCTGGGTTGTGAAGCCTTGCTATCACGTATGCAATCTTTGTAGCTGACAGAACTTGTTTGCTGGTCTTTGCTCGGCGAAGCATCGGTACCCGTGCTGCTGGCGGGACGTGCCTGAGCACAGCAGAGCAGAGCAGCTCCATCTCAGCCCGTTCCCCTGCTAGCTGAGTGCCTCTGAAGGCCTAGAGAATCGTAGAAGCATAGAATCACAAGGTTGGAAAGGACCTACAAGATCATCTGGTCCAACCATCCTCCCACTGCCATTGCTACCACAAGCTACTAAAGCACATCTCATAGCTCCTCATCCAGACAAATGGACAGAGCAAGTGTGGAGGTGCTCTGGATTTCAATAGCAAGAATCCAAGGGTGAGCACGAGGGAGCTGCTGAGTGGTTTTACTGCTATTAAAAACCGTGCAATCATTTCTTTGTCTTAATGAAAAAAAATGGCAGCGTTTGGGGTTTGCAATTACATCAGTGCCATACTTTTTGGAAATGAGCTCGGAGGCTTTGGGTTTAAGCACCTGATAGTTACAGTTTTATATTACTGGAACAGTGATTTCAAGTCTTATTTTTCCTTTGTTAATTGCAATTAGTGTCTCCTAATCCGCAGAGATGTTGTTTAAAACAGGTGCAGTCACTTTAGTATTAATGATGAGGGAGCTCACCATGTGTTCCTGCTCAAAGTGCTGGCTTCGTGCAGAGAAGCTCGTGGTTGAGAAGTGAGCACACTGACTGGGAATAGTTTGCTCCGAGAGCAGGGTGCTCCTCTTTTCGCCCAGAGGTATTTGGTGATTTGATTTCAGCTTTTGCTTGGAATGATTTGCAACACCCTGCACAAATGCGTGGAGCTGGAGGCTTTGCTATCAAATGATTTGATGCAGTGTCTTCATGGAAGTAATATCTGTTCCTTAGTGGGATAAGGATGCATGCTGTACGCACCACCTCGTTTCTGTTGACTGTAGCGTAAAGCGGTCTGGCTCAATCCAGGACATAAAAATGCCCTTTCAGAGCACCTCATCACACACTGGGCTTCAGAGCTCCAACTCTCATTTTATTTTCAGCATGAGAATGGGAATTGCACTCACCTGAGGCAGGCAGCTCTGCCATGAGAGCTGGGCCTGCAGGCAGCACGGTGTGGAAACACAAGAATTTACCTAAGCATTGCCTACATTAAGTGATGAATTTCATCACTTATTCCACTTCATGCCACATTTGCACATTATGAAATGAGATAATAGGGTTAATTTCTGAGAGCTTAATTTTGCTGGATAGGTTTTTATTGGGTCACCATTAATATACTGTTATCCTTTTCTTGGGTGAAACCTCACACAATGGCTCCAAAGCCACCCAGAAGACTCGTGCTGTGTGGTTACATGCATGAGAGGGCCGGGAGATCTGCAGTCTGATGTAAAATACATTGAGCAGAGGAGAGAACTCACCTGGGAAGAGCCTTGATCCCATTTCATGCAGAGATGAACTCTGAGAAATAGAATCATGCTTGTGATGCTCCTAAATTAAATTCTGCATCGTCAGCTCTTCCAGATTTGCCCTTGAAGCTCACTTTTTGTTGTTGACTCCACAAAAGGCCTTGATACCTATTTGTTCTAGAGTGGCATGACAGACCTGTCTGGAAATTATGTCTTCGGATTTGCTCCCACATCGTTTCCTAACAACTCCTTTTTGGATTAATATTCACAAGAATTCATCTGGTCGCGTTGAATAAATGTGGGGAGGTCAGAGTTGGCAATAAGCAGGTCGTCATACCTTGGTGATGCCTTATGTTCCCAAGGAAAGGAAAGCAAGGGTAAAGCCCTCCGTGATGGCAGGGAATAAAGGGTCAGCGTTGAGCATCCCGTGAAGCCTTTCACTGGCATTTTTCCCAACAGTGATTGTAACACCTGGTTTTATGTAGGTTAGTTCTGTCAAAGAAATGAGTCTTTATAACTTGCAGACTAGAAAGTATCTCACAGTTATTCAGGGCACAGACAAAAGACCAGAAGTACAAATAAAGGCTGGGACCTCACAGCAGTTGGGGCTTTTGTTTCACTCCGCAGTGGATCGTACGTCACATTCAGTCATGCTCTCTGGAGCTATGAAACAAAGGAACCCTGTTGATGTTTACTTTGGCTCAAGGCACAGACAGTTATTTTAAATGAGTTAATAAGAGGAGAAGCGAGCTATGGTGGTTTGTATGATGTTCTTTTTGGTCTCTTTCTCTCTGCAGGTCACTCAGATGAGTCGTCCAGATCTGATCCTCTTTCTGATGAAATATCTCATGGCTTTGGTAGTTGGGATACCCTCTGTCTTCTGGGTTGGAAGCAAAAAGACCTGTTTTGAGTGGGCCAGCTTTTTCCACGGACGCAGGAAAAAAGAGTGAGTACTGAAACAGACAAACCAGCTGAGTACTGTCTGAAGTTCTCCTCCCTTGTGGTCCTGGCAGTATTTTGATCAGTATCCTGTGGAGACACGGCCAGGAGCAGGTAAGGTCAGCTTTCTCTGATGTTATTTAGAGCAGAGCAAAGGAGGACAGCACAAGCAACAGCTCCAAAAATAAAGCTCTGGAGAACAGTCACATTTTTAGCCATTATTATTCTTTGGTCCCAGAATCAAATTTACATTGTTCTGTCAGTTTTCAAAATGAGAATCAGGTTTCAGTTAAATACAACAGCTTCTCTGCTGTACACAGAGTAGTGGAATTGAGGGCTGTCATTTGTAAAGGTGCCTATCTAGTATCTAGTCCACTCAATCACATCGTTACGTGGGAATTAAACCTAAGCTGTTTTCACCATGATTGCAGTTAAAAGCAATTGTCTCTACGTTTAATTTTCCCATATGCATCTGACCATAAAGCCCAAGCGCTCCGATAAAATTATAGTAAGATTGTGTTATAGCTTCTTTAAGGCCAAAATTAATTTAGACTGAGATATGGCATAAATTTAGAGACAGTGTATTTGATTATATAATAGCCATGAATACCTGGTTTCATAATCATAAATATTGTCTCATACGTGGCTGTTTCAAAATAGATCTGCAAACATAGTAAGCCTTTGAGTGGCTGCCCCATGGTGTTAGTTTGGCCATCCATTGCAGAACTGGCCCTCTGCTGAGTAAAATGACTTCTGTGGAGTTGGAGCAAATGTTGATTTATCCAAAAGAGAACCTGGTAGGACACACACATGGCTAACAACATGTAGTACATCAGGTACAGAGAGTGTGAAGGAGTCAAGAATATGAATTTTGCTGAAATACCTAAATTCTAAACACTTTAGAATTAGGCAAACAAAGCCATTATAATGTGAGTAAGTCCTGCTTGTAAAATACTTGTAGTGCTGTTACTGTGATCATCTTACGCCTCTTATTGCAGTAATTAACATTAACTATTCAAACCTCATGCCTAATTCAGAGTTGTCAACGAGAGCCGTCAGGTGCTGCAAGAGCCAGATTTCGCTCAGTCTCTTCTGCGGGACCCCAACACGCCCATCATCCGCAAGTCCAGGGGCACCTCCACCCAGGGCACCTCCACTCACGCCTCCTCCACCCAGCTGGCCATGCTGGACGACCAGAGGAGCAAGGCAGGCAGCGTGCACAGCAAAGTGAGCAGCTACCACGGCAGCCTGCACCGCTCACGTGACGGCCGGTGCGTTTCCTTCTCTTACAAGTCGTGCATGGAGTGGGACGAGCTCTGAGAGCGGCACGGGGAGGTGCTGGGGTCACCATTCCTGGGGGTGTTCAGGAACCGTGGGGATGTGGCACTGAGGGACATGGGCAGTGGGCACGGTGGGGTGGGCTGGGGTTGGACTGGGTGGTCTTACAGATCTTTTCCAGCCTGAGTGACTCCGATTCTGCGATCTTAACACATGGGAAACCAGAGCTCTCCCAGTCTGCCGTGCTGACAGTAATGATCCCCTGTGTTTGCACACCAGGTACACCCCCTGCAGCTACAGAGGCATAGAGGAAAGACTCCCTCACGGCAGCATGTCCCGGCTCACCGACCACTCCCGGCACAGCAGCTCCCATCGGCTCAACGAGCAATCGCGCCACAGCAGCATCAGGGACCTGAGCAGCAACCCCCTGACACACATCACACACGGCACCAGCATGAACCGCGTCATCGAGGAGGACGGGACCAGCGCTTGAGCCTGGCGGCGCTGCTCAGCATTACCGCGCCTCTGGGCAGCTGCTGCTTTCGCGCATCAGCAAGCCGAGGCCGGCTTCTCCGTTCTGAAGCCACCGTTCTCATGCCTGCATCAGAGCTAGTGTTCAGCAAGCTTGAGTCACTGAGCACCGAGCTGCCTGCCTCGTTTGGGCCTCTCTGTAGGTAATTATTTATTTGATAACTGTTATTTACCCATCAGCCATCGTTGCTGAATTCCTTATTCTTGAAGAAAAACCTTCTCCTCCCTCCGACGTGTCGTCACATCAGCAGGTGCCACCACAGACAGCTCGCTGGCAGTCACACCCACGTGTTTTCTAATGGGCATAAGGAAATTCTTGGATATTGAAGGAATTCCTCCACATCTCTGACCCGATAACAAAGCAATTCTTGGTTTCACAGAGGGAGAGGCCCGTACTCAGTGCTGTACAAAGGACGTCTGGGAGGTAGCGGCAGCGTTTGTAACAGATAACACTGGAAATGCAACGGAGGAGCAGCGTTTGGGAGGAGAGAGGAGATGGCTGAGGATCACCAGCTCCTCCCAGGGCTGCTCAAGCTCAGCTGTGGGGATGGGTGGAGGGAGGGGGAGGAAGGAGGCAAGGAAGGGCGCTTTTTGTATAACTTGCATTGTCCTTGCTTTTTTTACAAGATACTATTTAAATTTTCTACTTGTTTACAATTTATGTAGGAAGAGAGGAATTTTAAAACCAGTTATCTAGATAATATTCAGCCACTTATTTTTAGATTATTGTACAAAAGCTGAGATTGCCCATTCCCAATCTATTTAAAAACAGAAAGAGCTGAATTTGTCCCCCACACTGGGCCGGGCAGCCTTCTCACCAACAGAACAAACCCTGCTGACCGGCCCACAGAGCAGGTGAGGAATGCTGGGGCTGAAATGGCTGCGAGGAGCTCCCTCAGGGCTGGGCTGTGTTCCTGGGGCTTTGCTCTGTGCTGAGGTCGGGCACTGGGGCACGGCACTGAGCCCAACCCTCCTTGCTGCTGGAGGAGCAGGCAGGTATCCGTGCTCTCATGATCAACCTTTACTCCAGGTTGTTTTCTTTTCATTCCCTACCATAGGTTCACAGCAGAGAATTCTCAGTTTGGGCTTTTGTGTGTGTGAATGGTTTGTTGGGTACAGCAGGTCTTTGCTGGCCCAGCAGGCAGAAGTCAAGGTGCGTTCCTGATGGCACAGTTGATCTTTGGAGGCGTCTGCTGTCAGATCCGCTCAGCGTGAGCAGCGCTGGCTGCACCTAAACCTACCTCAGTAATGACTGCAGATCACTGCTGGGATACGAATGCCTCTTTTTCATTGTCCTTGCATAATTCCCTCCTTCACCTGCTTGAGGCAAATTGAGAAGCCTCTGTACATGTTTAGATGGCACAGCCTTGAGGGCAGCAACAGGGCAACAAGCGCCTGCACACTGCAGAGACTGAGCAGCGCTGCGATGACTCACGCTAATTGCAGCTGATGACACAACAGCAGGGCACGTAGCCGTGCTCTCTTTGAGATCACAGGTTGCTCTGGGACTCACAGTGGATTTAGAAACACACTTACTAACTTTCTGCTTCAAAGGGAGGGTAGTTTTTGGAATCTGAATCTGCAAAAGAAGCCAAATATCTGAGTTCTTGTAAACACTGAACTGATGAAGGTCAAGTGTTAACGTTGATCTCTTTGGCTGAATTTCCAGTGCTCCTTTCTTGTTAATTGCAGCAGTGCTTTGACTTGCTTAGAGGCAGGGAGGGGAGTGGTGGAGGTCTGATGTACATCCTCCCAGAAATTAGCTAATTTGTGAGGTTTAATCCCCGTGCTTTTCCTGGTGGGGTGTTTAAGCAGTCCCTTGCTCATCTATTGTATACACATGGTTGGAGAGTGCTCTCGTCACCCAGAAAAGGGATTAAGATGGAAAAACTTGGGCTTTTTGTTACCCTTACCTCTGTAACCCCAAGCTTTTCCTTTTATCTTCCCAACCTGAACCAACACGCTGCTCCTGCACAGCATTCCTCCTCCCTGGGACTCAAAGACCTTCTTCCCAACAGCCTGTTTCAGGGGGAAGATGGCCTCACCCTGGATGCACTCGCAGGGCTGGGGCTGCCAAACCTTTGCATTTCAGGGTGTGGAAGCTTTCTGGGTGACCTGGGCACGTTTAGGTGGTGCTTTCCTGTTAGCATCCCATCATGGAATTGTGAGTCAATGCTGTGCTTGTGCTGCATGGAAAGGCAGCATGGATCCACCTCCCTGTTGGGTCCACAGGGGTAATCTTTTGTGGAGCCTAAAAGCCAAACTGCAGCAAAAAGCCTCAATTGTCTGTAAATTACTCTGCTCTCAAGTGCTCTGCGTTTTCTTAGCACCTAGACCTCAGTTTAACAGCACAGGCTTCAGCTATTGGTTGTACAAACAGCACCCAAGGACAGACTGCATCGGTGCCTGTCCTGAATCCAGCTGGAAGCAGGGCATGCACTGCCAGGTGCTCCCAACCCCGGGGGCTGCTGGAGGAGCCCACAGCTCAGCGAGGTGCTTGCAGCAGAGCACCCCAAAGCAGCAGCAATGGGAAGCTGCACAGCATCCCCAAGTGCTTCAGCCCTAACGACCGAATGTAGACTTGAATGTGAAATTCCCCTCCTATGCCAATGTTTTATAAACAGACTGGGGTTCATTGTGGCACACGGCGGGATGTTCTGTGTGCATTTTGTGCAGCCCACGGCTGCAGGGCTGTGGTTGCTCATCCCACGCTTACACTGGGGCTGTACCTTCATTTCTGCTGCTGTGCTCAGCTCTCCGTGGGCTCAGTTCCAGTAGTCCCGTGTCGCTTCGGTAACGTTTAATTTTTAGCACTTTACCTGTGAGTGTACAAACTGGTTATTCTGTAGTAGGTGTACATTTTCATTTTAGACCTTTAAGAGTTTTTAATAAAACCATGTAAAAATCCCGGTCCTGTTGTCCAAAACTCTGCTGTGTTTGAATTCCACCCCTGAAGAGGGTCCTGCGGGGGGAGACCTTTCAGTACCTAAAGGGAGCCTACAAACAGGAGGGGAATCAACTCTTTGAAAGGGTAGATAACAGCAGGACAAGGGGAAATGGTTACAAGTTGAAGGAAGGGAGATTCAGGTTGGATATCAGGGGGAAGTTGTTTACTGTGAGAGTGGTGAGGTGCTGGAACAGCTGCCCAGAGAGGCTGTGGATGCCCCGTCCATCCCTGGAGGTGTTCAAGGCCAGGTTGGATGGGGCCCTGGGCAGCCTGGGCTGGTATGAAATGTGGAGGTTGGTGGCCCTGCATGTGGCAGGGGGTTGGAGATTCATGATCCTTGAGGTCCCTTCCAAGCCTGGCCATTCTGTGATAGACTTCCTGTGATAGAGGTGGGGAGCTGAGCTCTGCTGCTCCTGAGCAGCACCTGAGGAGATGTTTTTAGCACTCAGAACTTCAAATGCAAACTTTACTTCTTCATGTTTTGCTTTAGAAGGCACAGAACAGCCTTTGTTCTCCTCCTGCAGGCGTTGCATCCCCCTCGTTCCTGCCCTGCTCCTGCCTGCTGGCCCCACCACGCAGCGCAGGGCTCGGCTTTGCTGAGAAATCCCCCCAGGCCCTGCATTGCAACACAGCCCTGCAAATCCCACCTGGAGCTGTCAGGAACAGCCAGCCCCGACATACCTCTGCCGGCTCCCGCGCTGCCTTCAAAGCCCTCTGCTCTCCCCCGTTCCAGCGCTGCGATCAGATAAGGCGCTGCCTCTGCCAAGAGAAGCAAACCATCTGCTCGGCTGCAGGAAAATGGGATTAGACAGAAGTTAACTTTGCTCTTATTTGTGGTGAGGCAGCCGCTCCTAGGCTAGTTCACCTTTGCAGGTGGGTTTGGGGGCTTTCCCAGTGCCCTCGGGATGTTGCGTGCAGGGAACCTCATCCTCTGTTCCCACTGTCAGCGGGGCTTCTCTCAAATCATTTGTGCTCTCTGTCCTTAAGCACAAAGTGCTCTTGAGGGTCTTGGGGCTGGGGGACTCAGAAAGGAGCTTTGAAGAAGGGAGATGCAGAGATGACACTGCCACAGGGGGATGGAGGCTGCTTGTTGGGGTGGGAGGGGTGGTTAGAGGGAGAAAGAGATGCTCAGGGGAAGGAAGGATGCTTATCTCTTTCACACACAGCATGGTGACACACTGGAACAGGTTGCCCAAGGAGGCTGTGGATGCCCCATCCCTGCAGGCATTCAAGGCCAGGCTGGATGTGGCTGTGGGCAGCCTGGTCTGCTGGTTGGTGACCTGCACATAGCAGGGGGTTGGAACCAGATGAGCATTGTGGTCCTTTTCAACCCAGGCCATTCTATGATTCTTATAAGGAAGGAGGGATGCCCACAGGGATGAATGGAAGCTCACGGGATGGAGGGATGCTCAGAAAGAGATGCTCAGGATGGGGACATCTCCTGGATTCAGCGCTATGGAGAGCTGCAACCAGCACTGTTCCGAGGGATGCAGCTCCGTGGGCAGCACCATGGTGCCTTGAGGACTCCACGAGCTTTGGGAACCCCACAAGAGAACCTTGGGGACCGGCAGGGCTGCGGGAGCCGGCGGCCGAGAGCACGATCCCGGGGCTGCGTGCATTCCTAACACAACAGTGCCACCACGTGAGCGGCAGCGCCCGGCACCGGGGCACGGGGCGAGCGCGGCACAGCGGGGCTTGGGCTGCTTAACTACAGCCCAGGTGCACCAGTAACCCCCGGCTGCAGTTATTGCCCCGCTGCAATTAGTACACCAAGCTGCGCTAATTACCCCACCTGTCCTCATTAACACCCCCACCCCTCCAGTACAGTTATTACCCCCGCATGCATTAATTAAACCACTGCACTAATTACTCCTCCCGGTTGCATTAATTTAATCCCCAGCTTCACTAATTCAACCCCATCCACACTAATTACCCTACGGCCCTAATTACCCCTTTAAATGCATTAATTACCCCATTGCACTACTTACCCCCACAGCATTAATTACCCCAGCTGCATTATTACCCATCCCAGCTGCAGTTACTGCCCCAGTTGCATTACTTACCACCCCCACCCTGATTGCACTAATTAATTACCCACCCCACATACCCATATTACCCAAGCCCGGCTGCACTGATTACCCTACACCCCCAACTTAGTCCCCCCAAGCTGCACTAATTACCCTTTGGCTGCACTAATTCCCTACTTCACATTCCCCTACTGCACTAATTACCCACCCCAGCTACTCTAATTACTTCTCATCCTCATTAACTACCCCTCAGCTGCATTAATTACCCACCCAACACACCCTTATCACCCCCCTGCCAAACTAATTACCCCACACGGCTCCTTTACCCACCCCACAGGTCCTTATTGCCCCTCAGCTGCACTAATTACCCCTCAGCTGCACTAATTACCCTTCAGCTGCACTAATTACCCACCCCACACACCCACCACACCCCCAGCTGCACTCACTACCCCACATGCCCTCACTGTCCTCCCTAGCACTAATTACCCCTCAGCTGCACTAATTACCCACCCCACAAGACCTTACTGTTCCTCACCTACACTCATTACCCCTCAGTTGCTCTAATTACCCCTCTGATGCACTAATTACCCACCCACACACCCACCATACCCCCCAGCCACACTCCCTACCCCACACACCCTCACTTTCTCACCCTGTGCTAATTAGCCTCGTGGGAGGGTACGCTACACTAATTACCCTCCCACGTGTCCTTACTGCCCCTCAGCCTCATTAATTACCCCTCAGCCTCACTAATTACCCCTCCCACATGCTGCACTACTCACCCTACAGTCCCCACTGCCCCTCAGCCCCACTGATTACCCCTCAGCTGCATTAATCATCCCTCCCATATGTCCTCATTGCCCCTCAGCCGCACTAATTACTCCTCAGCCTCACTAATTACCCCTCAGCCGCACCAATTATCCCCCCTACATGCCCACCAGCTGCACTCATTACACCAGACACCCTTACTATCCCTCAGTTGCACCAATGACCCATCCCACATACACTTATTGCCCCTCAGCCGCACTAATTACCCTCAGCCGCACTAATTACCCCTCAGCCCTACGCCCACAGCCCCCCCAACTCCACACACACGCTCCTTTTCCCGCCCGCCGTTTCCCGCCCAGCCTCGTTCTGCCGCAAGGGGGCGCCCCGCTCCCGCCTCAGCGCCGCTCCCACAATGCAGCGAGCGCGGCCCCCGCTCCGCTCCGCTCCGCCCCGCGCCGGGCAGCGGCCGCGGCAGCGCGGGTCCGGGCCGGGGCGCTCCGCAGGTAACGGGGCGAGGGGGGTCCGAGCCGGGAGCCGGGAGCCGGGCCGGCCTTCCCGCTGCGTCACTGCTTTCGTTCTTCGCTTTGCTCCTTTCATTTCTTTTTTTTTTTTTTTTAATTGATTTTTATTTTACCTTCACTTTTTTTCCTCCCTTTTTTTTTTGTCTTTTTTTTTTTAGTTCTTTCTTTTATTTTTTTCTTTGCGTTTATTTCTCTTTTTTTCCCCCATTTTCTTCTGTTTTGCTTTTTTTTTCCTTTATTTTTTCTCTTCTTTATTTTTTCGTTCATTTCTTCCATCCTTTCATTTATTTTTTCTCTTTTTTTTCTTTTCTTTTTTTTCCCTTTTATTTATTTAT